GGGAGGCTGAGGCAGGAGGATCGCTTGAGCCCAGGAGTTTGAGGTTGCTGTGAGCTAGGCTGACGCCACGGCACTCTAGCCCGGGCAACAGTGAAACTCTGTTTCAAAAAAAAAAAAAAATGTGTCCTCTTAACCATTTTTCAGTGTGCAACTCAGTAGCATCAAATAATTTCACACTGTCGTGCAACCACCACCATCCATCTCCAGAACCCTTTTCATCTTGCAAAACTGAAACTCTGTCCCCACTGGACACTAACTCCCCATCCCCTCTTCTCCCAGACCCTGGTAACCACTGTCCGCCTAGGAATCTGACTATTCTAGGGACCTCGTGTAAGTGGAATAAACAGAATTTGTCCTTTTGTGACTGGCTTACTTCACTTAGTATGGTGTTCTCAAAGTTCATCCATGTTGTAGCATGTGTCAGAATTTCCTTCTTTCTCAAGGTTGAACAATATTCCATCGAATGTATAGAACACACTTTGTTTATCCGTTCGTCTCTTGGACGCTCGGGTTGCTTCTACTTTTGGCTACTGTGAGCAACGCTGCAGTGAGCGGTGGTGTACAAATATCTGTCTGGTTCAGACTCTGTTTTCGATTCTTTTGGGCACACACTCAGAGGTGGAGTTGCTAGATCATACAGTCGTTCTGTTTAATTTTTTGAAGAACCATCGTAGTATATTCCATGGATGCCGTACCATTTTGCATTCCCACCAGCAATGCACAAGGGTTTCAATTCCTCCACATTTTCACCAACACTTGTTATTTTCACGTTTTTTGATAGCAGCCACCCTGATGGGTGTGAGGCAGCATGTTGCTTTGTAAATAGAAGAAAAGTTAGTATGTTCGTATGACACAGGGAAGACCCAGGAGGAGAGGAAGCTGATGCAGGAGAGAGAGGAGGGTTGCTGGAGAGAAGCTGAGATCCGCACAGAGGAGCTGCCCTTGGCCGTGAGCCGCAGGCGGGATGCGGCCAGCTGAGGGGAGGTGGCGGTGGCGGTGACGGAGGCGCAGCCTGGGACGTTCCCTTGTGTTTATTTTCTCAGTGAAACAGGCAGCCAGGCAGCCAGCTGAAGGCACGGTGGGGCGGAGGGCGGAGGCTCGGGAGAGAGGAGGGGCGCAGTGTGGTCTAGCTAGGAGGGTGAAACGGTGGGTGGATGGTGGTTGGTGGGGGTTGATGGTAGGCTGTGTCAAGGGAAAAACCCAAACTCTGTAAAATAATTTAGAGATTTATTCTGAGCCGGATGCGTGTGACTGAGGCCCGGGGAATAAATTCTCAAGAGGTCTTGAAAAAATGCACTGGAGGCAGCCGGATTACAGTTTGGTTTTATACATTCGTGGGGACAGGAATTACAGGTGAAATCATAAATCAATACATGGAAGGTATATACTGGTTCAGCCCGAAAAGTCGGGACATCTCAAAGTGGGGGCTTATCAGTCGTAAGTGGGCTTTAGGGATTCTTTAGTTGGCAATTGATTGAAGGAATTCAGCTTTGCCTCAAGACCTGGAGTCAGCAGAAAGGAATGCTTGGGTTAAGATAGGGGGTTCTTCTATCCATCATGCGATGCTATATTGGAATCAGGTTGGAAAGTCAATCACATTATACCAGGTTAATAAAACCCATTTAGCGACATTTTATCATTCGTAGGTGTGACTCACCCGGCCTCTTAGAAAGCAATTTGGGCAAAAGAGAAAAGGACAGAGTTCAGTCCTCAGCTGGGTAATGGCCCCTGCAAAGACTTGAATTCCTGGAAACTCTGCAAGATCTTGAGATGGGGAGAGTATCCTGGCTTATCTGGGTTGTCCCAGGAAATCACAAGTGTCCCTGCAAGTGGGAGGCAGAGGGAGACTTGACTGCTGAAGACACTACACTGTGTTCTCTTTGAAGATGGGGGAAGAGGCCACAAGCCAAGGAATGTAGCTGCCTCTAGGAGCGGAGGGCAAGGAACCAGATTCCCCACTATAGCCACTGGCAGCCGTGGCTATATCTCTTTTTTTTTTTTTTTTTTAATTTATGCATCGCTGACCTTTACAGGTTTGGGTCATTTTTACACAAACATCTCTGTTACCAGAGGCTCTTACTCCATCCAGCAAACTTGGTAATAAGGAATCTCTTTCTGTTGAAGAGTATTTCTGTACTTGTCCTTTTATAAATCAATGGTAAAAAGTTGTGGATTTTCTGAGTCACAAACCAATGCAAACACTTCTCCTAAAGGCTTCAGTGTTGCAATATTATACGTTGCTGGATCATGTTCTACTAAACATGTTTCTGTAAGTACTAGAACTCTTTTTACAGGTTCCAAATGTCCAGGTGACGTTTTTCGGACTACAAACTCTGCTAAAGACATGATGGATTCATCAGCGCAGTATTTTCCAAAGCGAAGATTCAAATATTGCTCAAATTCTAAAGGTTCTTTCCTGATCCACAATGAAATACCGTGTATTATAGTTGCCAGCATGGTCTATTGTACTTTTGATAATCTCTTCTCTTTGCTCTGATGCAATAAATGCAATCCACTAAATCCTCCATAAAGTATACAAAATCCTCCTTGACAATGAGAGAAATCTACAAAGCCTTCAATATTTCTATAGTCATAGGAACAGAGAACTCTGTTGGATGCGGGATTAATTTGGTCAAAGCCTCCAGGAGTTACTTCCAAAATTACAGGTTTTCTTGTATCACTCCAGTGATGCTTATAGCAATTATATCCCTTTCTGTGATTTTTCCCTCTGAAAATCAGTTCTAAATCCCAATGCTTCTGTAAGAAGTTCTGTTCTGTGCTCTGTAGAAAAATTTTAAAGTTTCTGACTTTTTTCCACTGCCTTTACGAAATGTGAGGTTGAACTCCATTCCTTGTCCTTTTCCAACAGGGCTGATGCTACAAATGTCTCCACAAGGCCACTGACGTGTCACTTCTAAGGTATTGGGATTATATGCAGCAATCGCATGGGTTCCAAACTGGAAAGACACACTTGTACTTTCTCCTCCACGAATGCTTCATTGTATAGAAACAGGCCAGATCCTTATTTTCCCTAATTAGGTTCATTCTGTGCTCAAACCTTCACGGGAGGCTGGAGAGGCTCCAGCCCTAGCTCCTCCCGCCGTGGGCTCAGAGTCCACAGTGGGATGAGGTGCCCTCCGGCCTCCTCGCCCTCGCCACTTCCCCTTCCCCCTCCGGGGCCCATAGCTCCTCTGCCTCGGATTCCTGGTGCCTCCATGGTGCTGCCTCCCCACCCCCTCCACCTCCTCCCTCTGCCTCTCAGAGGCTCACTTACATCTTGACTGTAGACCTCCGATCCCCAGAACTTTAAGAGAATGAACTCACGTTGTTTTAAGTCGCTAAGCGTGTGTGGTTTGTTACAGCAGCAAGAGGAACTATTAATAATACGGTGGGGGCGGGAGAGGGGACATGCTGTCACCACTGGGCAGCACCAAGGACCCCTTGGAGTTTAACAATCATGAAATCGAAGCAAGAGCAGCCAGCGGGGCTGACTGTCATCATCTGCCCCACCCAGGTGCGCAGGTGCAGGTGCGGCCCGCACAGAGCACTGCATTTAACCAGAGTGAGAGCGGCAAGGCCGGAGACAGACCAGGGAGCCGTGGGTGTGTACAAGGGAGAAAACAACCACGGCTCACAGGTGCCAGTGAGGGAGAGAGACAGGTAGCAGGGGTAGGGGCCAGTGGGGTGCTTGAAACTGGGAGTACGGTGTGGTTATCGGCAAGGCCCAGTCTCAGCCATTGGCACCAGCTACGTCCCACGGGCCAAATCCACCTGCTGCCTGTTTGTATAAATAATTTTACCGGAACACAGCCAGCCCCTTCTTTTCTGTATTGTGTACAGCTCTTTTCACGCTACAAGAGCAGAGTAGTCATTATAGAAACCTTAAGACCTGCCAAGTCTGAAACGTTTACTCTCTGGCACTTTATGGAAGTGTGCCCAGCCCTGGGCTAGGGTGGAGGACACAGCCATGGACGAGGGGAGATCCATCTTCCCCTAGACCTTGGTAGCGGGCAAGCGGGACCACAGACAAACCTAGCCCGGACCCCAGCCAGAGCCAGGGGTCACCATATAAAACAAACACAAGGTTTATTTATAAGCAGGAATGCTGTCCAGCATACAGTACGAACTCTCATGGTCTTGGGATTAGTACAGCGGGGGAACAGAGGCCACACCCAGACAGTCTCCTTGCAGTTCATGGCTGCAGGCTCTCCTCGGGGATGCAGAGGAAGCCCGAGGTCCTCCCAGCACTGCCCACCAGGGGGCAGACGCGTTCCACCGCCGCGCAGGGACCAGCGTGGGCAGATCGGGCGATTCCAGGCTGGGAAAACCCTCTGTCTCCATGGTAACGGCTGGGCTCTCCCACCCACCAATAGTTCAGCTGCCAAGTTCAAGTCCAGTGGAATTTATCAACGTGGGATCCAAGTACCTGAGACTGGACTGGCCTCTCAAGGAGTTCCTCATCTCCCTTCCTTCCAGAATCCGCTCGAGGCCCTCCAAGTTCACCCTCTGCCAGGGGGTGGGTTGGCTCTCTGATGGGGAAGGCTCCATTGGCAAAATTGATGGCTTCAGCTGCTTGGAGGCAGGTCGTTCAACTTAACGACCTTGGCGGCACAGACCCACAACACACAGACAGACACAGACAGAAGGCCGGCACTCGGCTTCTCACATCCACTCGGGACACGGCGGCCCGTACCACAGTGGCTCGGCAGCCACCCTGGGGCCAGGGAGCGGGGGCAGGCTGAGAGGCGCACACCCCTCTGGAAGCAGGAGGAAGGTCCAAGCTGAGGTAGGAGGAGAGAGATGGCTGTGGGGCCTCAGTCATCTCCAGTTCCTGAAATTCCCTGATCGGCGTAGGCGCGGCCTTGGAGCACCTCCCCAGACGGTGAGGGAGGAGGGACGTGGCGGGCACTGGAGTGAAGCAGAGCGGGCAACAGCAGGGGAAGGGCTGCGCGTGGCCCTCGGAGTCTGGCGTCGTTTGCTGTTGGCTTGTTTGCCTGCGTGGCACTTACTTTTTTTTTAATTTGCTACATGTTAAACTTGGAAGATTTCCGGTTAGGAGTTTGTCACCTTGCCCAGGCCGTGGCATTGAATAAGGCTGCCTGCCTGGACCCACTGGGCATCAGATTTTCATACCATGGTGCAAAAGGACAAGCTAGCAGAAGTGAATTTGGAGGTGGTGCTTTCCAAGAGTCCTGAGTTAACCTGAGGGACCCCTGTCCCCCAGAGGACTGCCACCACTTCCCTGCCCAGAACCATCTGACCGATGGCCTCCTCCTGCCCTGCTGGGACCGTCCTGTAGTCTCAGCATTCAGGCTGAAGCACTGATGGATGGCTCTTGATGGATGACTCACGCAGCGTCCTTCTTTTCCAGCAAGCTCCTCTGGGGGAAGGATGCTAAAGCATCTGGAAGCCAGAGCCAGGCCAGAGCCCAGGGTAATAAAAAGAAAACACCAAGGGCTCCAGAAGCCAAGCTCGCAGGTCCAGCTTGGGGGCAGGCCACAGAGAGGCAAGGACTCGCCCAGGCTGTCCCGCACATCCGTGCCCAGCCAGCCTTTCAAGAGGGACACGCCAAGACAGCAGAGGCTTTCCATGACTCACTGTCTCGTCCCTCAGCCTGCAGGTGAAAGGGAGGCTGGGGCTGGGGGAGCCACTAAGGACACTTGGCCTAGAGCTACAGAGTCCTGGGGGTGGGGGCCTAGAAGGACCGGGACCCCTTCCCAGGGTCACCCTGCCAGGGGTCAGGCCTGGTTAACTGGGCTTCATTCCGGCATCAGGCACGCCCATGGGCAGGGGCTTCTCCTCGGAGCTCTGCCGCAGAGTCTCTGGAGTCTCCAGCTGGGACTGAAAGGCGCACTCCTCCTTGGAGAAGGGGACCTGCTCGTCCTTCGGGGAAGCCGAGGGACTGGCATCTGTGTCTCCCACCGTGGAGCTGGCTTGGGAGGAGCACCGTGAGCTGTGGCCGGAGCTGCTGCAGACGTTCACGATGCAGGTGACATTGACCTGGGTCCCGTGGCCACCAGGGGAAGACTCTGCTAAGCACAAGACGGGAGTGGGGTGGTCAGTCCAGGGGTCTCAGACTAGCAGATGTTTTCACAGCCCAAGAGGCAAATTAAGACGTGGGAAAGAGCACTGGGCCGGGAGCCAGGAGACCAAGATTCTAGTCCAGCTCTGCCGTGTGACCTTGGGTGAGTCACTTAACCTTCGTGTGCCTCAGTTCCCCCACCTGCCAAATAAGAACAGCATCACCACCTACCCAGCCCAAACCACCCCGCAGATGGGAGGAGCCAATTATATAAAGCAAATGAAAGTGCTCCAGGAACAAAACGTTCTCCCTAAAAAGAATCAGAGAGGTGAGCGGGGACAGGAAGTGCATGTTCCAGAACACTGGTCAAGCGCTGAGGATGTTGAGGACAAGTTACTTTCCTACACTGCAGCCCGGCCACGCCCACTATTGTAATACAAGGTAAGAACCTGTCATTAGCACGTTATCCGCGTGCCACGGGATCAATATGAAAGGGCTGGAAATTGTTCCTTTACGCAGGTGAAACACTGACTCTGAAGTCGTCTTTATTCTCAGCAAATCTTTTTCCACCATGTAGAGCCACCTCTAGGATTTCCTAAGTCTAGGATTCCAGAATGGGGTCAAGGGGTAGTTTGTCTTCATTGCCGAGGCCAGGATGTCTAGTGTTTGTGGTCTGACGATTCTGGGTTCGAATCCCTACTCTGCCTCTATAGTGTTGGCCAAGTCGCTTAACCTCTCAGAGCCTCAGTCTGCCCAGCTATAAAATGGGCATAACAACCCTGTACATCTCGGTGCAGGCAGAGGCAACTCTGTCTTGCTCACTGCTGCATCTCTGGAGCCTACACAGTTCCTGGAGACAGAGTGACACTCTCAATGAGCCAGGGGTTGAAGACTTGTTCGGCACCTGTGCTTGGAGAATTACAGTCATCTCAAACTTAACTCTTTTTTTTCACAGACGGGATCTCGCTATGTTGCCTAGGCTGGTCTTGAACTCCTGGCCTCAAGCAGTCCTCCCGCCTCAGCCTCCTGAGTAGCTGGGGTTATAAACGTGCCACCACACCTGGTTTCAGACTTTACTTTTGGTTCCAGCCCATCTCCCCTCCGCCTGCCCCTCCGCACGGCAGTTCAGTTTGCCACCCCCACCCCCCCAGCTGCTTGGGCCCAGAGCCCTGGACTCGTCTTTCTGTCGTACGCCACAACCAGCCCATCAGCAATTCCTGCCTTGACTACCTTGAAAGATCACGTAAAGTCCCCCCTGGCCTGCTACTGTGCCATGCAAGCCTCCACCCACTCCCAGCTGGACCGGTGGGAACATCCTCCACCCGTGTCCTGGCTTCGACCCCACCCCTCTGAAGTCTGTTCCCCACCAGCAGCCAGAGCTGCCCCTGACTTGGCAGGTCACTGCCTTGGCTGCTCACGAACCCGCAGGCCTCACCACAGCCCGCGGGGCCCTGTCTGACCTGGAGCCTGCCCTCTCCCGCCCCTCTCCTGTGCTCCAAGACCTTGCCCAGGTTCCTGCCAGCCACACTCACCTCCCCGCAGCTCCCGGAGCCCTGCGGGCCTCGAGGCCTTTGCACATACTGCTTCCTCAGCCTGGAAGGCTCCTCCCTAGTCGTGTGGCTCACTCTCTCCTGTCATCCACGCCTCAGCTTGAAGAACCCCCGGCCTCCCTCCCTAGAGATATTTATCCCTCAACCCCCGCCCCTCCATCCTGCTCCACCCATCACTCCCGGGTCCCTGTGCACTTCTGTGATCTCCGGCCGGGCTCCTGGATCGCTTATTGCCTATTTGTGACCCCCCGCCAGGCCCTGAGCCCAGGAAGGTGGGACTTTTTGACTGTTCCCTGCTGTGTTCTTAGTGCCTGTAACAGGGACAAGTGTTGAACGGATAAAAACCAGCCAACAGGTACATTTTGTTTTTACTGGTAGTATTTTTTTGTTTTTTTTGAGACAGAGTCTCGCTTTTGTTGCCTGGGCTAGAGTGAGTGCCGTGGCGTCAGCCTAGCTCACAGCAACCTCAAACTCCTGGGCTCAGGCAATCCTCCTGCCTCAGCCTCCCGAGTAGCTGGGACTACAGGCATGCGCCACCATGCCCGGATGATTTTTTCTATATATTTTTAGTTGTCTGATTAATTTCTTTCTATTTTTAGTAGAGACGGGGTCTCGCTCTTGCTCAGGCTGGTTTTGAACTCCTGAGCTCAAACAATCCGCCCGCCTCGGCCTCCCAGAGTGCTAGGATTACAGGCGTGAGCCACCGCGCCCGGCCGGTGGTAGTATTTTTAAGTGAATCGGCTGCCAACATTTAAGATTCAGGTGTTTACATTTAAAAATCTGGATTTGTGGATTCCCTTGGGACCAGATGTGGGCGCTCTGGCCACGGTGGGCCCACATACCTGAAACAGTTGGCAGGAGGACTTCGGGGTGCAGGTGCGCCCCGCCTTCCCTTCCAGCCCCTGCGGGCAGCAGTATCCTAACTGGTCGGGGAGGAGCTGGATGATGGGTTAGCTGAGGAGTCGGATGTGAGGCGCTTGACAGACAGCAGCCCTCACAGGATGACAGCTGCTGCTGCCGCCACTGCAGGGATCTGCCGGGCGCCCAGACGCGTGGCAGCTGTTTGATGTCCAGTCCTCGCCCGGCCCAGTTCCCGAGTCCAGAAACTCGGGGGAGCCTGGGAGGAGCGTGGGGCTGGCCAGCTGCTCTGCTCAGAACAGGCCGGGAGGGGGCGCTGCAATCAGAGGGCCAGAAGGAAATTTCCACCCTGAGCCTCCGCAGCACCCAAATGTCACCCAGAGTCACCATGGCCTTTGCACGTTGCGAATGAGACATCGCGGGGGCGGACGGGGCACAGCCCTGGGGGTTACAGTTTCCCACAGTGGAGAGAGGTGTCGGGGGTGGGGGAGAGGGAGAGAACAGAGGCAATGTGGCACCAGGGAGAGGGTCAGGGGACTCTTGGGAGAAGGAACACAGAGCAGAAGGGGTGGGGGGGGGATGGGCAGGCATGGTCAGGGGTCCACTCTGGGACCAAAGAGGAAGGCACACCAGGTGCAGCTAAGAAATTGGAAAGATAAATTCAAGAGGTGGACAAAGACCAAGAGTTTGTATTTGGAGCACATTCATTCATTCATTCAATCAACACATCTTTATTTAGGGCCACCTGTTCTGTTCCAGGCACTGGTCCAGGTCCTCCCTCAGGGAGTCCTTAGGCTCAGTGAGGGGCCCTAATGAGACATCCCACTGATGAGGGTGAGCTAGGATGGGGCAGACAGAAGTGGGCACATTAGCACCTGTGGGCAGTCAGGTGACAGGTAGGAAAGGGTGTTGCAGGCGAGGGTGGCACGAGGACAGGCAAGAGGCAGGGGTGCAGCCCGCCAGGGGAGCAGCAGAGTGGGCGTGAGCCTGGGTGGGGCGTGGGGAGAGGACTGCAACCGTCAGTCCCCATCTGGAGGTGGCCCAAAGGGAGCCTGGCCCCAGTCAGGTGCCAAGCCAGACACAATGCAGCTCATCTTTCTCCCCTGTCCTGCCAAGGAGGTGCCCAGGCCCACCTCTAGATGAGGAAACTGAGGCTTGGCAGAGTTAAGAATCCTGCTCAGATACTCATGGCACCAGAGTGGCTGGGCGGGGATCTGGGAATGACCCTAGTTCCTGGTCATTCTCTGGAGTCCCACTGGCTGGCACTGCCAGGTGAGAGTGAGAGACACAGGCCAGTAGACTTGACCTCCCCACTGCAAACAAACCCAAGGAAACCCTAGGATTTCTGGGGGGCCCCTCCAGTGTGGGCTATAGAGATACCAACCAGGGGTGACATCTGTCACAGACCAGGTCCAAGATAAAATGCAGACTGCGTAAGCAGGACACAGTCCCCACAATCCTGGCTCCTCAAGTCCAAAGGGACCCAGCAACAAGCTGCAGCGAGTAGAGCCCTGGAGGCATCATTTCTTCATCCATCCCCCAACCCTAGGGCTCTGGAGCCCGACAGCCCAGGGAGGATTCCTGGCTCTTCCGTTTACTAGCTCTGTGCCCTTGAACAAGCTGTTTAATCTCCCTAGGGCTCAGTTTCCTCATCTGTGAAATGGAGATAACAACGGTAACTCTCTCTTAGTATGGATGTGCCGGGGGATTTTATGCACGCAAAGTGCCCAGGACAGTGCCTGATGCGCCGTACGCCTTCAGTAAGTATAAGCTACTGTTATTATTACTGTTTCTAGCTACATGCAGTGCTGGGCCTATGACACAGGGATGAATGAGATGATCCAGGCTTCCCAGGAGTCCCCAGCCTGGTGAGGGGACAGGAGGAGACAGGCAGTGGCCATGCATGCAGTCTGACAGCCCTGGGAAGGGCACACAGGGCCTGCAAACTCGGAGGAGCAGCCAGTCCAGCTGAGGGGGAGGGGTCTCAGGAAGACTCCCTGCTGGATCTTGGGAATTCCAAGGACAAGTTGGGATTGTCCAGCGGAAGGAAGGGTCTTCCAGGTGAAAGGTCAGCATGGGCGCAGGTGGGTTCAGGGAACTGGAAGAAGCTCCCTAGGGTTCGGGACTCGCCCTGCCCTGCGGGGAGGCTCCCAGAGGAGAAGCTGTGACAACCAGGCAAGAAAGACAGATGAGCCCTTACCTGAGCTCCCGGCACTGGCCCGGGCCTCCGCAGACCCGCCGGCCTTTTCCGCGCCTGGCGCCTGTTGCTGGTTCCCGTGTGCGGCGCCGGCAGCCGAGCTCTCCAGGGAGCTGCTGCTGGAGCTGGGCGCCGCCGTCAGCAGGTGCTGCTGCTCCAGGCCTGGCGCCCCCAGGGCCTTATCGGCAGGCAGGTGAGGCTGCAGGGGCAGGGGGAGGGAGAGCGGTCAGCCCACAGGCCAGCTCTCTCCCCTCCTCCTCCTCACCACCACCTGCACCCCCTGCCATCAGCACCTCGCAGCTCACACGCCGGCCTGCCCACACCCGCACGTCCTTCCACACACGGCGCTTTCGGGAGGTGTGATTCTCCGTGGTTTTTACGTTTCTGTTATTAGCATCCAGCTGCTCTACTGGAGTGTGACCCCTGTGAGGGCCGGAGCCACGTGGCCCTGTTCACCAAATAGTCTTAGCGCTGGGGCAGGATTTCCATCCTTATTTTGCATAAGGAAACACAAGGAAAGAAACTTTCCTAAAGTCACCCCATCCACACAGAGAGACGTGGCTCAGCCTAGTAGCCAAGAGCACAGACTCTAAATCCAGCCCACAGGAGGGCAAATCATGACTCTACCACTCACTAGCTGTGTGACCTTGGACAAGTTGCTTAACCTCTCTGTGCCTCCATTTTTCATCTATAAAAGGAGAATAATAACCTATCTCATAAGGTTGTTGTGAAGATTAAAAGCTGAATATTTTTAAAGTGCTTAAAACAATACCTGTCACATAGTAAGCTCTATGTAAGAGTTTATTAAATCAGAAGTAGGCAAAGTACTGCCCATGGGCCAAATCCAGCCTGCCACCTATTTTTGTACCGCCTGCAAGCTAAGAATGGTTTTTCACATTTTTAAATGGCTGAAAAAAAAATTTTTTTTAAAGAATGATATTTTGTGACACGTGGAATTACGTGAAGTTCAGGTTTTAGGGTCCATCAGTCAAGTTTTAGTGGAATACACCACTCTCGCTTTTTTACGTGCTGTCTGTGGCCGCTTTCCTGCTACAAAGGCAGGTCCGAGTAGTTGTCACAGAGACCACATGGCCCACAAAGCCTAAAATTTTTACTCTCTGGCCCTTTGCAGAAGAAGTGTGGCGACCCATCCAGGGCAGGGAGCCCTTTCCCTGGGGTCCGTCAGCCATGCCGTCCCAGCTCCCCCTTCCAGAGTCTACCCCCAGGATGCTCTGTGACGTCTCCTGACATCTTTTCCCCACAGAATATTATAATAATCATAAAATACTAGCTGCCATTTGAGTGCCACCTAGTGCCAAGCACTGTGCCACAGTTCCCCCAGAAACTCTCTCTACGGAGCCTTCCAACAGCCCCGTGTTAGCCTCACTTTGCAAACGTGGAAACAGAGGCCCGGAGAGGACGAACCACAGAGGCTGAGGTCACAGTTAGGATACAGCACAGCTGGGCACCCACAACGCCCTTCCTGGGTGTCTGGAGTTTCAGCTCTAGAGACTCAAGACAAGGTCCCCATTTCCAGACACCCGTGCTGGGGAGCATCTGGAAATTCCACTTCAAGGCTGCTGTCTGTCCACACTGACTGCACAGGAATTCAAGGCCTCGCCTTGGGGTTCTCAGAGATCACTAGATCCCAGGAAAAAGGGAGATGGCAGGGGCCATGTCCTCACCAGCTGCCTGCCCCTTGGCCTGCCCAGGATGAGAGAGAGGGTTCGGGCAGAGTGAGGATGGAGGCGGGACTTGCGGGCACAGCAGGGGGATGTGAGGGGCCCAGAGGGCACAGGTCCAGCAGCCCCGGGAATGGCTGAGACCCGCCCTCAACTCCCTCTGCCTTGGGACTGGAAGAATCCTGTGCACGCCATCCCATCCCGTGAGGCCACAGGGCCCAGAGAGGGTGAGCTCCAGGCTCAGCACCACACAGGTGGTCCGTCACAGGGACAGGACAAGCCCGGAGCCGTGTGTCAGGGCTGTGTGCTCCCGGGGCGCCCTCTTGCTTCCCCAGGAGGCCACCCACCGGGCTGACTTCCCCAGTTTTGGAGGAACAGAGGGCATTTCAAGTTCATGCTGAACCTTCACTCAGGGGGTCTGACCTTGGCCACTCCCCGCCCCCCAGCCCTGCTCTGGGCTTGGAAGGGGAGGAGGAGCCTCCAAATGTCATTCTTCACAACCCCCAGGAAAGGGGCTTTTCTGGTCTGTGCCTCGCCCTCTCTGCTGGTGGCTGGAGCCAGGCAGAACAGAAACCCTCAAAGGTCACAGGCCGCCTCCCTCCTCCAAAGCCACAAGCTGCAAAGTTCAGACAGGCTTGGGTGGCACAGATACAACCTGAGTCCTGTTCCTTGGGCTGGGACCCCAGAGGGGTGGAGTACTGGGGAGGCTCATTCAAAACACAGGCTCGCAGCCAGCCGCCAGCCGCCAGCCCCCTCGGCCCCCGGCCTCTCCCGCAGGGCAGAAGCAGAGACCCTGGCAGAGCCACCGGCTGGATCCTCCAGGCTCCTGCTGGGTCCGTGTCTGTCTGTGTGTATGAGTGTGTGTTCATAAGGCTCACGCACCCGTATCTACAGGCATGAGGGTGTGTGAAGTGTGCACACACACGTCTATGAGTGGCGCGGTCAGTGTGTGTGCTGGGGGTGAGGAGAGGCACTCCTAGGTTTGTATCCCGGGCCACTCTCATCAGCTGTGCCACCTTGGGAAAGTTACTTAACTTGTCTGGGCCCAAGTTTCCTGGGCTATAAAATTGTACTGCCTGTGTGTTGCAGCATGGCTGCGAAAATAAATAAATTCAACACCTGCTAACCGTTCATGCTTATTATTAAACGTGAGCCCATGCGCGAGCGTGTCCGTGGGGGTGAACGTGGGTCAGCTCACACATGTACATACGCTGGGCTTCTCTAAACAACGGGAAGCCACTGTCTCTGTGCCCTGTAGTTATTTCTGCAGCAGGAGGAACACGTTGTGCTGAGTCGACAACACTCACCCAAACCCAGCGGCCTGACTGGCTGGAAGCTGGGGAGCCGCGTGGGGCACAGGCTACGCAGGGGCCGGGCTTGGGAGTGGGAGCCCAGGGCTTGAAGGATTTGTGGGAGGGTGGCCAACCTCTGAGGGCTTGGAACAGCTCTGAATGTCTCCCCTGGAAAAACCTGCAGATTTAGACTCAGTTTCAAACCTGAGCTATGCCACTTACCTAACCATGTAACCTCACACGGGAAACTGAGCCTCGTCTGTAAAATGGAGGTGATGACACTCTGCCTCGCAGGGGTGTGAGGATTCAGGGAGGGCAGCTCAGGCAGGGAGTCCGGCAGGGGCCCCGCCAGCAGCGAGCTGGCCCCGGCCCAGACCCGTGCACGTTTCTTCCCAACTCCATATTCAAGAGGGTCTTGGTAGCTTGACCGCAGTGGGTGTATTTACACCACGGAAATTAGCAAACACCACAAATCAGGGTTTGGGCGTTTCTCCCCCACCAGAGAGCCGGTTTCCCAGCGTATCACTGGGCTCTGCGTACACGGCACTCAACACACTGGGGTGCTCACATGTGCGAACAGAACCTCGGTGGAGGGAAAGGGGAAGCGGAAGCAACGGGCCACGCCCAGGACGTCTCCCCTGCACGGAGGTTGGGAAACACTTGATTGGGAAAGAGAAGACAGCAGCTGGGCCGCTGGGGCAGAGCCTGGAGGGGACACTTGCTCTACGTGCCACCAGGCAGCAACTGTCATTGGCATCACTGAATTGAAGCCACAGAAAGGCAGAAGTGGGATTCGCACCCTGGGAAGACGAGAAACAGCCTGACCCCCACTCACACACTGCAGAGCACTGGGCTGGAAGACACTGCTGTGTGACCCTGGGCAAGTCACTTTCCCTCTCTGCACCTCTTTTCTTGTCAGCAAAATCAGGAGATGAAACCAGTCTATGCGATTTCAAAAGCCCTGTGTAAACCTCAGGCACTGGGACACCCAGGGCTGAGCTTTTGTCAGGCACAGTGGTTCTCAACTGGGGAGGATTTGACCCCCAGGGGACATTTGGCAATGTCAAGAGATTTTTGGTTGTCCCTGCTGGGTGGGGGTGCTACTGACATCTACTGAATGTTGCAAAACAGCCTACGATGCACGGGACAGCCCCCCACCACTAAGACCTATCTTGTCCCAAATATCCACGAGGTTGGGAAACTCTGCCCTAGCAGGACAGGGAACATGAAGTAGCTCCATGGACTTCCTCGGCTGTAAAATTGGGTAAAAAACCTGCCCCGCCTACCGGGCTTGAGGTTGCGGCAGACATCGTGTACTGGCTCACCCCACACCCATTTCCAACCCCTCTCCCTCATCCTCCTCTTCCACAGAGGCTGAGAAAGCAGAGCACCCCCTTCCCCAGCTTCCCCTGCAGCTAGGAGTGGTCACGTGACACAGTTCTGGCCAATGAGATGAAAGAAGAAGTCTCCCCAGGGCTTCTGGGGAGGCGTCTGATTTACTGATAAAGGCAACACAGCCGACCTGGCCATTCCCCCTCTTTCTGCCTCGCACCCGGAGGTCACATATGAAGTGATGATCACCATCTTATGATGTGAGGCCACAAGCAAGAAAACTAAAGCCAACACACTAGCGATGGCAGAGCCTAGCGTTCTGCTGGCACCACAGGAGGATACGACTGAATCCATCCCAGCAGACGCCAGCCCCCTGGCTTCTTGGAATACAAGAAAAATAAAGCCGTTTGTTTGGAGTCACCCATAAGTTTTGCTCCTTGGAGCCAAATGCCTTCCTGATGGAGAACTAACAAAATACAATGACACCACGCTGATGGTCTGTTCTAACAAAAGTCCTTTACAGACCCTACTTTATAAATCAGATCAAAGTGAGCTGCGTTGAAGTCCGGGGAGGACCCAGAGCCCAGCCCTGCAGGATCCATCTCAAACTGGAGATACAGCACCCCCAGGGCCCTGGGTGGGACACCAGGGTACCCTGAAACCCACTGCTTCACTGGTCCCTGAGCAAGCGCTCTGTAAACACGCGGAGATGACGAGGACTGTGCCAGCTGACTGAAGGGCGCAGCCCTGCAAGCTGGACCGAGCACACGCTACCCTCGTTTAGTGACGAGGAAACGGCCGTAGAGCAATTTCACGGCCACCCAAGGTTACACTGTGGGTCCACAACCACATGCCCGCCACTAACACCACTGAGTCCCCTGCTCCCTGACGGGGCATTTCACACTCTCAGTCTCCTTCAGCCCATGGAGGGCCTTTGCCCAGGCCATGCCCCCCTCTCCTCCACCTCCAGGGCTCTGAGTACCTCCTGACACTGGGCAGATCAACATACAGAATTCACTGTTTCCTGGCTGGGCGCGGTGGCTCACACCTGTGATCCTAGCACTCTGGGAGGCTGAGGAGGGAGGATCACTCGAGGCCAGGAGTTTGAGAGCAGCCTGGGCAATAGCAAGACCCTGTATCTACTAAATATTAAAAAATTAGCCAGGCATGGTGGCACATGCCTGTATTCCCAGCTACTCAGGAGGCTGAGGCAGGAGGATGGCGTGAGCCCAGGAGTTGGAGGCTACAGTGAGCTATGATGAGGCCATTGCACTTCAGCCTAGGCAAGAGAATGAGACTCTGTCTAAAATAAAGAATTCAGTGTTTCCTGTGTGACAACCCAGCCCGCCTAGAAGGAGACCAGGGGAGGAGGAGGGAGAGGGCAGAGGGACACTCACCACCTTGCCTTCTCTTTGCAGGCAGGAGGGCTTCTCTATAAAGAGGAAAGAGGGAACAAGTCAGGGAGTGTGACTTCCTCGGGGAATGCCTGCTCTAACTAGCAGGGCAGCATGAGGCCCAGGAGAACCAGCGGAGTAGGCCCAGTCCTGGGGGCAGAAACTGCCTAGCAGACAAGGTCCACACAGGCCCCTTCTAGCTCTGCCTTCCACCACCCCTACCATTCTCCAGCCCCCTGCCTTTGCCCATGCCATGCCCTCCACATGGGGCGCCCTACCTTTCCTGCACATACTCCACCCATAGAGATCTTGCCCGGCTCAGAGCCGCCTGCCCCAGGAGGCCTGAATCCCCCAGGCTTCCTGGATAAGAATCCTGAACTCTTACTCCCTTGGATAACCCTGCTCACATCTTGTCTTTAGTAGTTACGTTAGTGGAAGTGTCCTCTACCCCAGGCTCTAAGCTTCCACACAACAGGGACTACCGTATCCAGCCCTGCCTGACCCTTAAGGCTGTGCCCCGTGCTGGACTCACAAGAGGTGCCCCAGAAAAGCTTTCTGAACAAGTGGATGAAAGAAGGAAGGATGGAATCTTACTTTTCTTCTGAGTCACGATGACACAGTTCGCCAGTCCTATTATTAGCAGACCCAAGGCTGTCACACCCACAATCAGACCTGGAAAGAAGAGAGAAGCTCAAACAGCTGCAAAAAACAAACTCCAATGTACCAGGGGCCAGGCAGGTGAGTCAGTGACCCACGGTGGCCGGAGTGCTTGCAGGTGAGGGGCAAGTCCAGGCCGGAGGTTCTCAAACTCAATTACAAATCAGACGTGTCTGAGGGTCCCATTCAACCAGAGAGCCGCCAGTCTGAGACCTCTGGCCTGATGCAGGCCTAACCCCTGCAGGGAGCCTGTGGGGTGACCTAGACCAGCCCCCCGTGTTCTCAGCCTGGTGGCTCCATCAGAAACAGAAACCAGGAGACCACCTCCACGTTCAGGTAAAACGCTGACCTCATCTCTTCCCACCCAGGGACCCTTAGTGCCAGCCCAGGTCTCAGGAAGAGACTACTCTCACTGTCACCTGTATGCCAGGACAGAGCACAGGGTCCAGCCCACAGTGGGCGCTCAGCAAGCCTGTGGGAAGGAAGGGAGGGAGGGAGGGAAGAAATAGGGAGGGGAATAGAAAGAAAGGAGGAATGCATGAATGAATGAATGAGCCGCTTGCTTACTGACTGGAAGAGAGATGTTGCCACTGCTGACCCCTTCAGCCGGGGGGCTTGGGCCCGCTGGGAGCAGGAAGGAGGTGCTTGGAGCTGTGCTGGGCCCTACAGTTGGCTCCACTTGCTGGGGTCTCGTGGACGCTGGCTGGGGGATGCGGGCCGGCCCCGGGGCCACTCCCAAGGTGGGGGACGCAGACGAGCAGACTGCATCCATGCTCGCATTGCCAGGGATGGCCACCAAGCTGCAGCTGGGGGAGCAGGAGGCTTGGTCAGGAGGCCGTAGAGGACAGTGGCTTGGGGTGGCTGGGCTCATTCGTGGGAGCCAGGGCAGTGGACACGGGTCCCAACAGCCGGGATGGGAGAGTGAGAGGGTGTGCCACGCCCTCTCTCAGGACCACCCCCTCCTGTCCGCACCCTGCCTTGCCTCCCCGTGCACCCACCCAGACTTCCAGGACAAGCTCCTACTCGCTATGCCACCTATCCTGGGATCCACCCTCAGATAAACCAGTCTGGACGATGGTGGCAGGTGAGCTGCTCTGCGTCCTAGACAGCACGGTCACCCAGGGACAGCCCCTCCCTGCTCCTCCAGAACCAAAGGACTCAGCCACTCACGTCCGGTGGGGCCTGCAAGTATCCGTGGATGAAGTCGTGTCAGAGAATGTCCCCGGGGCACAGGGTGTGCACACCACATTTGATGTTGCAGTTCCTTCGAGGAAGAAATTGGAACCTGTCAACAACTCAAACACTCTGTGGAACAGGTGAGCCCTGGCCCTGGAGCCTTAGGCCCAAGGACCTCTCTCTGTGCCTCCAGCCCTTAAAATATACACACACATGCGCACATGTGCGCGCACACACACACACACACACGCACATGCGTGGTCTCCAGGGTTATGTGGGTTCATCTTCCGCAGCTTCAGCGGATTTACACGGTAGGAGTGTAGTCGGGAGTGTGGAGGGAAGAATGGACGGTGACCAAGTAGACGGATGGACGCGTAGTGAGCACCTGGCCACCACCGACAATGTTCCCAAGCTGGATTGATGGGCTGATGCCTGTGCCATCGCAGAGATGTCCACGAAGAAGAGGCCCAAGGGAGTCCCTAGACCGCTGGCCCTGGCCCATACCTGGTTTGGTGACACCGAAGCCGGGGCGGCACTTGCGCAGCGGCGCGCACAGCCGGCAGCCCTGCTGCTTGCTCAGCATGCAGTACCAGCCCGGCCTGCAGGCGCAGATGCGGTTCTGCTTCGGGGCGCAGGCTTGCGTTTCCACCTGGTCTGGAGGAGCAAGGGCCCAGGGTCATTCCCGCCTCCGCCACCCACGCTGCCCTCCCAGCCAGCCCCCGCCCACACACGGCTCTGCTCTCCAGGAGGCTGGTGGGCCCGGAGCATGGGGCAAACAGAACACTGGCTCTCCCAGCCACCGCTTCCTCAAAGCTAAGATGGGCACCGTTCTCCCACCGCCTGCCCCGTGGGGCCGTGGAGAGGGTTTGGTGGGAGAGAGGCGGAAATGCCACGTATAAGCAGTAAAGAGCTGTACGCAGGCCACCTCAGTCCCCGGGTCGTGAAGACACCTGGCCTGCTCGCGAGCAGAGGGGCTGGAGCGTGTGCTGGCCAGGCAGGGTGCTGGCGACCATCCCTGTCCCGGGCCCACTCACCAGAGCTGCAGCGGGAGTCACAGCTGAAACAGCTGGAGACCCAGTTCCAGAGCTGGGTGTACGTGCTGTCCTCACAGGGCACGCACACGGTGTCTGAGGTCTTGGTGCAGAAGTCTTTCACACGGCAGCCTGCGAAAGCGAGGGCCGGCGGCCTCAGCGGGCTGGGGCTTCTGCCAGGACCCTGGGCTTCTCCGCTGTTCCCCAGAGCCCCGGGGTTCTCGAACCTTAGCTGGGAAGGCCTCTTGATGGAGTTCTAATTCCTCTGACTTATCTCGCATCCAGCATGTACCAGCTGTCAGTGTATTTCTGCGGCCCTTCCGCTCAAAAATACCTTCCTCTCTGCTCTTCCCACGGGCCTGAAATCCCACCACCCATTACCGGTCAAGTCCGTAAGAACCGGCTGGCCAGTGCCTTTCTTCTCGATCGTTGGCTAAAACTCTCCACCTGGGGGTGTGAGCTACAGGGCAACAAGGCAGTAACAGCGTCATGTCGTCCCTGCTGTCCTATCAAGGACAGGGCAATGGACTCCTGCGGGCCAGGGGATGCGACACCAAGGGAAACCTGTAAGGAGTTCATTCTTCTGGGCCCCGTCCCCCATTCCCATCCTGCCATGTTCACGGCCATGCTTAGCAGGTAACTTCCTGGAGACACTGCCGGTTCATGGAAGAAAGAAAAGTCACTTTCCATGGGGGTCTCTTAAATGGCCATGGGAGGTGACAGGGACACACGTGCCTGCCCACATCTCAAGGTCATGGCTCAGAGCCCTCCACTGGCTTCCGGCATGTCACAGAATAAAATCTAAACTCCTTGCCGTGGCCCCTGCTTACCTCTTCATCCTCATCTCCTACCACACTCCCCATCACTCACGCTGGGCCACACACGCTGGCCCTACCACTCCTCAAGTTCACCAAACAGGCTTCCACCTCAGGGCCTTTGCACTTGCTGTTGCTCCCGCCTGGCACGCTGTTCCGTGCATATCTGCAGGACTTGCTCCCTCACCTCCTGCAGGGCTCTGCCCACACGTCACCTCCTCAGAGCAACCTTCCCAGACCACTCCCTGTATAACAGGACACTTCGCTCTCTCTGTCCCTCTCTGCCTTAGCTGGCCTTGTTTTCTACACAGCACTGGCTGATAGGGAAGACCACACACCTGCTGCTAGTTTATCTGTCTATGTCCCCCACTGGAATCAGACTCCACGAGAGCAAGGATTTTGCCTGCCCTGCTCTCTGCTGTACTCCTAGCACTTAGAACACACAGTAGATGCTTTAGGAGTGTGGCGGGAGTGAATATATAAACAAACGAAAGGATGGACAGCTCCAGGACTCGGGCTACCTGGCTCTGCCAACAGGGGCTGGGCCTCAGGTCTGCCACCCGTGCACTGGGTAAGCATTCGCTGATTCAGTCAGATATGCACTGAGCACCTACTATGTGCCAGGCATTGTGCTATGTGATGGGGATTCAGTGGAGAGCAAGCTGCAGTCCCTGCCCTGGAGGAGCACACGGTGGGAGCAACAAGAGAGGACCAGGCCACAATCGCACAGCGTGGAAGAGCTGCCGTGGGAACGCCAGGGGCCGGTGGGTGCCCAAAGGAGGCACTCAGCCTGGCTGGGCAGTGTGAGGTGGGCTTCCTGGAGGAGGGGACGTCTAAGCTGAGGTCTAAAGGATAAGTAGGAGGTAACCAGGGGAAGGGAGGTAGGAAGTGTGTCAGGCAAAGGGAACAGCATGTGCAAAGGTCCAGAAGCAAGAGGGAGTTCAGTGGGGATTGAGGGCCATGACACTGCCCCTCCCTGCCCTGTGTACACACACCCCTCTGGGGCAACGGCCCCCCAAGGCACAGCCAGCCCAAGGGTCGGGGCCCCAGCACTGCCGCTCACCAGGTGGGCACTTGCTGCAGTACATCTGGGCTGCCTGGTCGTAGAATTCTTTCGGCTGACACATGTTCCTGGGGTCCGAGGCATCGGGTGTAAGTGCCACCTAGAAGAGTGAAGGAAAGACAGCCATGAGCAGTGCCATCCTGGGTTCTGCCACACCTGACGCCCAGGTCCTTGTCCTGCAAATGTCCAGCCCTTTCCCTGCTGGGCTCTACTGATGTGGGGGTCTCTTCCTTTGGAGGGGGAGTGGAAGGCAGAGCCCTTGCCTTCTTTTCCTCCTCTGCCTCCCCTTCCGTGCAGCACTCTTGTGTCTGCAGGTGCAGGCGCTGAGCCCGCTGGCCAGAGACCGGGCGGGCTTTAGGCCTTCCCCAATGCTGGGTGGCTCCTAACACACACAGGGCAGATATGAGGCCCTGAAGCTGCCCAGCAGACGGTGACCTTGGTCACAGAGAGCCAAGGTCTTCGGCATAAAGCTGCCCTCTGCCTAGGATGCCTCTCTTGCCCTCCTGCGCCTAGGAAATGGTCCCTTTGTCCTTTAAGCGGAGTGCTGCTTCCTCTGGGAAGCCCTCCCCGACTCCTGACTCCTCCAGGCTAATTTAAGCTCCTCCTCCTCCTCTCTGAATGCTGGATATGGCCCCTTCTAAGGACCATCTCATTGTTCTGAACCGGCTACTTGCTTGTCCTCGCGCCCTACGTATGCACGTGGGCCGGAGGGTGCACATATAGGCGCACACGCGCACACACGCACACACACACACACACACACACACACACACACGCCTGCGACATAGAGGGCAGAGATGGTGGCCTCGTCATCTTGGGGCCCTTGGCCTCTGACGCTGGACCCATAGCAGAGCTGGGGCTCAGTGCATGAATGTTGGTGACAGTGACAATCGTTAACATTTTTTTTTGGAGCACCTCCTGGGTGCCAGGCACTATCATAAGTGCTTCGGTTGCTCGAGTCTGTGGGTGCTGATGCACCCCGTTCAGACCCCCTTTTCCAGCAGGCATCCCCCAGCTCTGCAGGTGCTGGCTGACAGCGGCTCCACAGCCGGAGGGCCACGCCCTGCTCTCAAGGTGGGACCGACTCTGGTACGACTCACGGGCCAGAGCCCGTTGCAGCGTCAGGCTGAAACAGGCCCCAGCTGTGACCACGCCCCTGCCCTGTCCTGCCACCGTCCTCCCCTTCTCCTGGAGACCTCCCCAGTAAGTCACTTTCACAAGCATCCCTGCCTCAGGCTCTGCTTCTAGAAGACCCGACCTAAGACAGGCTGTGTGATCTCCCTGAGGCCCCCCCACAGCCCAGCGAAGGTCTCCTCACTGTGACCATTTTACAGAACAGGAAACCAAGAAACCACTTCAAGAGGGTCACCTGGCTGAGGTCCCAGAGCCAGTAAGTGACAGAGGAAGATTTGAACCCGGGTCCTGTCTGAGTTCACAGCTCACGATCTCAGCCACTGTGTCACCTGCCTCCGCAAGGAGACGAGCCAAGCGGTGAGTGAAAAGAGAAGAAAGAGGAGAAAGGAGAAAGCAAAAGTGCAGAGAAGATGCAGCCCTGAGCAGACCCCAACACAGAGCTGCCCTCCCCAGTTTCTGAGTGGCCCTTGGGGAGCGCAGGGCAGCGGCAACAGTCCCCACTGTACCTGTCCCCTGGCACATGCCCCTGAGGCCTGTCCTTCCACCCGACAGATTTGGGTTGGCTGTCCCAGCCTTTGGCAACAAGCAGTAATTGCCACACTTGCAGTGGCTGTTGGCAAGCTCGAAGTTGATACATTCATGGGTAGGCAAACCTGGGCATGCACACATCTGTACAAGCAAAGAGGTGTCCATACACCCCGCAAAGTCCCTTGGGGGCCCTTTAGACATGTCACCTTGAAATGACCAGGAGGTCAGAGTCGAGGGCTGGCTCAGCCCCATTGCCTCGCCGGCCGCAATCACATGGTCAGTACGAGCTCCGCAGACCTTACTGAACCAGTGATAAGGAAAGAGAGTCTGAAAGACCTGGTTTCAATCCTCATTCCACCACTTACCAGCTGTGTGGCCTTAGACTAGGGCCTTACCCTCTCTGGACTTCGGCACCTAACACATAGGAGCAGGGGAGATATTCGAAACATTTACTAACCAGCACATTGTGGGCACTGACCAGTCACCCTGGCCATCAGCTGGAACAAGCCAATCAGAACAGACTCCAGCCATGGTGTGGACACTGCTGGGCCTGGGCAGACCTCGCCAAATCTCCATCAGCAGTGTGCCGCCCCTCCCCCGCCACAGCACCGCCTGGGAGTCGTGACGGCCCAGGCCTTTGGCTGGCCCCCACAGGAAGTGACCAGTGGGCCTGGCAGGCAGCGCTGACCCGCCTTGGCTGCACGCAGCCTGGCGCCAACAGCTGGAAGCCATCAGCAGGAAGGACCTATGGAGGCTGGGGGTTCCCTGTTGCAGGGCAATCTCCAGCTCTTCCTGCCCCAGTGCCTTGGCCCGAGCTATCTCCTGCCTGGAACAGCCTCGTGCTTCCTCTGACAAATTCCATTTCATCCTTAAGAGCCCGTCTCTGGCAGCAGCCTCCCACTGCAAGGCCTGCACCCCACCCTGAGTGAGTCACTGGGAACCAGAATCCCACCTTCCTCCCTCAGGGCTCCTGGCAGACAGGACTGCCGTTGGGTCACTCACCTGGGCCCCTGCTAGATGGGGAGCCCCCTTAGACTGTGGGCTGGGGTTACTCTGTGCTGCTACCCCTGAGCCTGGCGTGGAGTGGGTGCCCAGTGGTGCTAAGCTGAACAGTGAGCTTTGTCCCAGTATCATTTCCTGCAGGGGTCTGACCCCAGCACCAGAGCCGCGAAACTCAAATGTGGGTGCACCCACCACCCTGGCCTGCCTCTGAGGCCCCTACCCCACCCCCATCTCCACCCCAGGCCCAGGGCCAAAGCCAGGACAGTCAGCTCTAGTGAGGTTGGGAGAGACGCCGGTGACCCAGTGAGGGAGGTGGGGCCCACTCTGCATCACAGAATCCAAAGAACTTCAACTCTCTTCTGGACCATCGGTTCACACGTGCATGGGCGCGTGCACACGCACAGACGTGCACACACGCACACGCAGTCCCAGCACCTCTTCTCTCCCAGCTGGGTGCTGGAGTAGACATCCAGGCACCCTGGACAAGAGGAGAAGCCTTATCAGGGTTCTCAGTGTGGGGGGAGCTCCCTGCCTGTGTCCAAAGCACCTGGGGGCCTGCCACGAATACCGACTCCCACTCCCCAAACAGGGGCAGGCTCTCAGGGTGGGCACAGGAAGCTGTACTGCTACCCAAAAAAAGGAAAAAAGGAAAAAGCAAAAGGAAATCTCCCCAGGGATTCCAACGCTCCCTTGCTGACCGAGACCCTGGACAGAGTGGGGTGACCTAGGGGAGGTGTGGCAGAAGGGCACACGGCGGAGAGGGGCAGGGGGTGTCAAAAGGCTGGGGAAGCCCCAGACCAGAGAAATCATGCTTTCTACAGCTCCCTCTGCACACGTCACTCAAGCAGCCCCCCCACACCCCCAAACTGGCCTTCCCTGAGGCTGCTGCGTAGCTTCTCCAAGGGGAGGGGCTGTGCCTGTCCTCTTAGACTGAGTGGCCACCCAGGGGGCCTCAGACAGCACCCCCAGGGCAGGCGAGGCTGCACCTCTCCCCTTGCGGCCCCCTCACCCCCAGCCTCACCCCTCCAGGGCCTGAGAACCGCAGGGCCAGGGCGGCTCCAGGCGGTGCAGACAAATCCTGCCCCGGCTGGGGAAGGGCTTCCTGTCAGCACCCCGAGGGCCTGATGGGAAAAGGCCCTGCCTTGGCCAAGTCCGGCTCTCTTGCCGCCCCTGGACAGGCCAAGGCGGCGGGACGCCCACGGCCCCCAGGCGGTTGACCAGCCGCCTTCTGCCTCTTCGCTGTGAATAACCTTCTCTGCGCTCCCTCCTGCCAATGTGCGACTCCAGCCCCCCGGGGGCTGCTGGAGGGTCACAGCTCCCTTAAGCAATCTCCAGGCCTGTTTATCCTCTAGGACAGAGAAAGAAAAACAAAAAACCGCAGCCCTGTCATGGCTAAACAATGAGGAACAGAAAGCCCCTCGCAGAGCAGGACAAAAGGTTACTCCCTCTTCTGCAGGGCTCCCCAGAGCAGGGGTCGGGCCCAAACCACAGCCCTGGGAGCCGCCTCGGGTCCCCCCGGGGCCCCCAGAGGTCCCCAGAACATGGCGAGCAGCCCCCAGGAAACGCAGGGCTCTGGAAGTCTGCAGCCCCTTTGCTCTGAGTTGGGGAGGCTGCAATTCACACACCACCCCCCACAGGGGATCTTGCCCATTCTAAAATGGGGAAATAAACCGGATAGTACTTGATTCAGTCAGCACATTCAGCAGATCTGGTCTTGCAGAGCATGGGGGGTGAAATTTTGGAAATCACTGCTAAGGGTGAACTGCCTGTTGAACAGGTGGGGAATCTGTGACCTGGTGATGAAGGAATTAGAGAAGACAGAGAGAGAGATACACACATAGATAGACGGAGAGAGAGAGAGGGGTAGGCACGTGGGCTGCCCCTGAATCTAACATCCAATTTGGTGAGGCAGGTCTGATTGTGCCCATTTCACAGATGAGACAATGGAGACAGTAAGCGGCAAAGCCACCTCCTCCAGCCTCCCAGAGACTTCGGGCCATTCCAGGGCCTGGACGGTGGCAGGCAGAGGGACGCCTGTGCACAAGGAGCCCATCGGGCCCACCCACAGGCCCCAGAGCTGCCACACGCCAGGGCCCGCCGCCCCCCGTTTCCTCTCTGCAGCACTGTGCTCCCTCCTAGGACCAAAGGGACCTGCGGTTAGGAGCAGATCATGGTACCGAGCACCTGTCTCCCAGGGACAACTGTACACGTTAGGCCCACAGTCTGACCCGTTCTTCTCACTGACGTTCACAGATGCTCACAGAGGTGACGTGACATGTCCCAGGCTACACCAGAAGAGCCGCGATCCTTGCCACCCCCAATCCTGCCTCCCTTCTGTTGGGGCCCAAGCTTCCCTCCCCCCTCAACACAGACCCGAGACTCCAAGGGCCCCAGCACTGAACAGCCCAACCTCAGCAGCCTCCGTCCCAGAGAGGA